GTATCTACCCAAAAGAAGTGAAATCAGGGACTTGAACTGACATTTGTACACCAATGTTTATAGAAGCATTATTCACAATAACTAAAAGATGGAAGCAACCCAAGAGTTCATCAAAGGGTGAATAGGTAAATTCTGATATATACATGCAGTGAGATATCATTCAGCCTTGGAAAGGAAGAAAATTCTGACACACGCTACAACATAGATGAACCTTGAGGACATTATGCTAAGTGAAATAAGCCAGTCACAAAAGGACAAATATTATATGACTCTACTATTGTGAGATGCCTAGAGTAGTCAAATTCACAGAAACAGAAATAGAATGGTGATTGCCAGGGGCCAGGAGGAGAGGAGAATAGGGAGTTATTGTTTAATGGATATGGAGTTTCAGTTTGGGAAGATGAAAAATTTCTGGAGATGGATAGTGGTGATTGTTACAGAACAATGATGAATGTTCTTAATGACACTGAAATGTACATTTAAAATAGGTTAAAATGGCAAATATTATGTCTGTTTTGCCACAATAATTGTAAAAAAAAAAATGTGCCTATGCACAAGAATAATGTGCCGTTGTCCCTGGGGTGCTGATGTAATGACACCCCAATCTTAAACTCAATGTTAATCCTCTGAGAGAAGTCAACTGTTATCCCTTTCTAAAGCTATTCCTTCCACAGCATAGAGGTCAAAACTAGCATATTACCTAAGAATGCCTTAAGTTTGTGTAGCACTTTATATCTGAGGAAAGGCTTTTATGTGGCTTAACTCATTTAATCCTCATGACAGCTTTGTAAGGTAAGTAGTATTGCTCCCTTTTAAATGACAGAAGAAAGTGAAGGCTGAGAGATTAAGTTGTCCAAGACCACAGGGCTATTAAGAATGCAGGGGTTCAAATACTTATCTTCTGACTCTACAGCCATTGATTTCCCAAAGTACAGAAATAATTGTCAACTTACTATGAACTTAACATTTAACATGCCAAAAGCAAAGTGCTATTCTTGTTAAACTGAATAAAGAAAAGAAAACAAAAAGAAAGATAGCATCATTAGCTTCTCAATGACCAAGGAATAATGATTATACTAAATTTATGCTCTGAATTCCATTAACGTATCTGTGGCTTTTTATAATGCTCTATTTCCAAACCTTGGTCATGTTTAACTCTGGTTGGCTCTTTGTGTTTTTAGACTTTAGCTTCTAAAAGTAACCTTTAATTTGGGGTTGAGTTACCTTTCCCCTAAAACTCATCGTTTTAGGTTGTAGCTATTCAAATTTTAAATTTAATTCTCAAAAAATTTCTCCAGTTCCCATAAAAACAAGTAGCCAGGTTGTTCTCTCGTTGTTATGCAAGAACTGTTTCACTTTAGGTCTTAAATTTCATTTTTTATTGCTCTCCTTGGAGTGGATGGCTAATATAAACGGGAGAAACCTGGCATCACACCATCACTGGTCTTAGTGACTTTACGAGTTCCCCCTAGACAAATGGCTGGGTCAATGCAACCTTCCAATTCTCAGCATGCAGCTAGCATTCATTTTTTTTTTTTTTCCGAAGCCTGCCATAGGTAAGTCAAGTCAGAGCCCAAACTATCCTGCTTCAGAAGGCTGACCCAGTAGCTTTCTCTGTCTCTAGGAAGATTTGGTTCTGTTGAGAGAAGAGCGGCATTGACACCCCCTCACTGTGAACAAGCCCTCCTGAATGTATTAACCGATAACATAAATAACACTCCCTGAGGCAATATGCAATAGGTTTCTCGCCATGGTGGTATTCCATGAAAGAATTTGAGATTTCGCGCTCTTGGGTCCTTCCTTCTGTACAGTTCCTGTGAAGACTTCACTGACAGTTTACACACTGAACGTTCAAAAAGATGGCCCCTCTGTTTCCTCTTTCAAGTTGTTCCCGCTGCTGGGAGGTAAAAGCAGCGTACAGTCTAGCTTGCCGTTGCATTCATTGCACAAATTCTGAATTCAGATTCCTCACCTCAAATATGTGAAACTGTCTGGAAGCTCTCACTGCACTTTAAAAAGGCTTGCAGCATGTTGGGACTCCCTTCCCTTGTGTTTTGCTGTAAAATTCGTAAGCTGTGGTTCCTTGTGCCAAGTGCAATGGAGAAATGAAGTACTTTTACAAAAAATAGCTCACACCTATCATTAGAGCAACACCTGGGAAATTTCTTCTTGTATCCGGCGTTTTACTTCCATTCCCATAGCTTACATTTATTAAGCAGCTACTCAGTGCCAGAAACTGTGCTGAGCACTTTATACGCACTATGTTATTTAATTCACACCATAGGCATGTGGTAGGTACTAACTTACTCTTATTTTTAAAAAAATCAGAAAACAACAAACACCTGAAATGTAAATGGGTTAAATGGACACATAGCAAGTAACTGGCTTATGTGAAGCCTTTTTTTCTTGTGTAAAATTGTACCAATCTAGTTCAAATAGATCATTATATTACCTTTTATAATCTCAAGTTAAAGACTTTCAGAATCAGATATGTCAGCTCCTGTCAGTGCCTTACACTCTTTAATATGCTTTTCTTCCAGCAAGAAGGAACACCAACTTTCATATTATATTTCATGCGTTTCGGATCTATTATTGTTTTCCCCTCCACTTTCTCTTTTGCATGATTTAAACAAATAACAAACAAACTCTTGTTATCATTCCTTCCAAGATTGTGCTTTCTAGTGCCTCAGTTGCCTAAATTGCTTTCAACTCAAACTTTGATTGTCCTATATTCTACTAAAGAGTGAAAGATACAAAGCAGACAGACACTCATTATTTGGGACTATGAAAATATAGCAAAAAAATTCAATGACAAAAATGCAAAGTTTCTTCATATTGTGAATAAGGCAGACTTTTATTTTTAATGCTGTTTAAAAGATAAAGAAGAGCATGATGAGGACAAGCCTGTTTTTAGAGAGAAGCTTGATTTTTTCATGAACATGCTAATGATATTCTGGCATTTGTATAATTTCAGCAAAATGCTTTGCAATCCATTAAGCATAAAATGAATGAGATTAAGTATTTATTGACCATCGGCTTTCTTTTCAGAATTTAAGAAAGATATAGACTGTGTATTAAAAATTGGATCCTGCCCTGAAGAGCTTGCAATTTAGTGAATGAGAGCAGACAAAACATACCAGTAAATTTAATTATGCCCAAAGCAGTACATATTAAGTGCTCTTCTTACCCTTCCTTCCAGTTCTTTAGCAAGACCTGATAATTTGTTCTCTAAAACACATCTTGAATCTGTCCTCCTCTTCAGAGAAGCTTGATTTTGAATTTCAGAAACAGCCTAATTTATGCTTTAAAGTTTATAATCTGGTTTTGTTCCATTTATTGCCTGATTATTGTGATCTTGATTGACATGCTGGGAGATACTTTCATGCTACCCATTTTGAGATGTATCTTTATGTTCCTCTTATGCCACAGAGTCATCAGAAATCGGGCCTTCCCTGGTGATTCATACCACTGTCCCATTTGGAGTTACATACTTGGAACACAAAATTGAGGATGTGCAGGAATTAATCTTCCAGCAGCTGGAAAATATTTTGCCAGGTTTGCCTCAGCCCATCGCTACCAAATACCAGAAATGGAGATATTCACAGGTAATCAAAGAATCCAGTGGTAGGAGCACAACAATTTTCTTAATAGACCAACAGAACTAATTTGACTTTGTCATTTTTGCCATTCCCTAGGAAAAGAAATTAGCAATGTCATCTTTGGAGCAATTCTGTGTTTGCCCAACATATGAGTGTAACTCTACAGCTTTTCTTGTCCTGCTATTTCTCGAAGAGAGGTGCATACAGTTTTCATCAGTGTTATTTTCAAATTCTAGCATCTCAAGACTTATACCCCCTGATATTCTAGGGTTTCTTATGCAGGCAAGGCAGGTTATATATCAAAATGCAGCTGTGTCTTTGGGGTTTTTCTAAATCAGTACTGTGGATATATGGAAACCACTATAACCTCCCAAATTTTTGCAATCTGTTAAATTAACCTTGTAAGTGTTTTTTTGCTACCACGGTTTTCATTTTTATTGAGTTTCACTTTGATTTTGACTACTGCTAGCCAAGCTCTCTGGGGAAGAAAGATAAGTACGTCTATAGAACAGCTAGTTGAGCTGTTTCTCAGGGTTAGATAAACCTGCTGATCACTCTACTAGTTCAGGCTTAACACTCTTTATACTAAGTAAATGTTGACTTTTTTTGAAAATGTCTGCGTATTCCAACAGCAGTTTGTGAGCAGAATATCCGTAGGAAAAGTCTTTTTATCTACATACTCAGTAGTGAAGTCACTTAGGGGACAGTGGAGCAAAAGGCAGACAGGAAAGAAGCAATGAGTTGTCCCTTTTCTTCCTGAGATTTCTGAGCCCATTGATTAACTGAGGTATCAGCACTAAAGGCTATGAATGAAGCTTTTAGAAAAAGTGGCGTTGTAGAAAATTGCGGCAGATTTTATGTATTTTAAAGGGCTTTCCAAAATCAGAGGAAGTGGTAAATTACTTCCTAAAATATTGTATGTTTACCCATATCTTCTCAAGTTAAATTATACAATGAACCTTTGGGAAAAATATTTACTTAAACATGCCTTGGTCATTTTAGAAGACTTTGCTTTTTTCTTTTAAAAGCATTGAAAAATCTCAATAGCTAATGTCTTTAAATAATACTTAACTCAATTTTAGGTTGGCTTGAAAAGGGAAACAGAGAAGTAATCTTGTTAATATACTTTGAAGCTAGATATATTACACACAAAGTAACTTTGCACTTTATAAATATTCTTTTAAAAGAAACAATAGTTTGTGAAGTTTCCTTTTATGCGCTTTTCGTAAATAATTTATTAATTAACTGAAAAATGGGTTTAAAATCTACTTATTTCTTAAAATTTGATATGTTAATAAAAATAGATTTGTCCTAACCACAAAATGACCAATTCAATGTTGTGCAACATCAAAAAATTTAATAAGAAATCCTTGAACACAATGTACCTCCAAACCCTAGCAATGATTTTTATTATAATTTGGATGTTGAAATTATCCCACTACATTTACAACTCTATAGTCATGAAGTCTCCATTGGCTGCAAAACCTGAAAGGAAATAAGTTATCATTCAGACTTGGAAGTTTGTATTTTTCACTAATCATATGCTTCTCATAGTACCTTGAGGATCGTTCTGCAGAACATAATATTGCCATTTATGGTAGAGTTCTTACCTACATTGTGTTTCATATGTATATAAACATCACTTTCAAAAAAGGAATAATTAATGACAGGTCCAGAGATTTAATATAATTTAACTAGTTTTCAGCTAATCTTCTCAAGAGAGCATTTCTCCAATGGTTTTAAAAGGTCCATCCTTAACCTTTGGAATTTCACATAAATAATGTGTACTCCTCTTCCCTTGCCATGCCAGCATCTACCTTCAATAAATTCATGTGTGTTTGTTATGAATATGGCCTAATATAGTGCTACACTGAAGGGACAGATGTTGTAGGACCCCGGATAAAAAAAGGAAGAGGAACAACTAACTGATTTTTAAGCTTCATTCATTTTTGAGTAGAGGCATAGTGCCCTTGCAGGGGAAATCACACCATATTTTCTTCCAGCCTGGGTCACACCATATGTTCTTTTTCTTTTCCTCTTCTCCCTGTTCTGCTCTACCCAAACCTTCTCCTATTCTCCACACTCCACCCCTTCCTTCTCTTCTCTTTCTCTGAAAAACAAATCATAGAGCCTTGCACACCCTCATACTATGAAAGCCTCATTTGAGGCTGGTGGCTGGTGGCTGGTGGCTGGTGTGAATTCCCCTTCTAGACCCCTCAGGCTTGACTCTCTCTATTCATTTTATTTTTCCCCTTTTTTTCTTCTTTGATGGTTCTTACACTGCATCCTGACAGTTGGTGACTGTGGAGGGTGGGGAAGAAGAAGAGAGAAGAAGGGGAAGAGCACTAATGAGCACCTACAATGTGCCAGACCTGGAGCTGGGTGGTGATTCAAAGATGTGATCTCATTGAATAGCAAAAGCTGTCTCATAAATGACAATGAGAAAGCCCTACACTCCTAGAATGGCCCAAATCCAGAACACTGACAATACCAAATGCTGGTGAGGATGTGGAACAAGAGAAACTCATTCATTGCTAATGGGAATATACAATGGCACAGCCACTTTGGAAGGCAGTTTGGCAGTTTCTTACAAAACTAGACATTACCTTGCTGTATGATTCAGCAGTCACACTTCTTGGTATTTACCCAAAGGAGCTGAAAATTTATGTCCACAAAATATCTGTACATGAATGTTTATAGCCGCTTTATTCATAACTGCCAAAACTTATAAGCAATCAAAATGTCTTTCAGTAGGTGAATGAGTAAATAAACAGTGGTACATCCAAACAGTAGACTATTAGTTAACACTAAAAAGAAATAAGCTATCAAGCCATAAAAAGACATGGAAGAAATTTAAATGCGTCATTACTAAGTGAAAGAAGCCAATCTGAAAAGACTACATGTTGTATGATCCCAACTATATATGACATTTTCGAAAAGGCAAAACTATGGAGACAGCAAAAAGATCAGTGGTTGCTGGGGGTTAGGGATGAGGAAGGAATGACCAGACAGACCAAAGAGGATTTTTAGGGCTAGGAAAATACCTGTTGATACTACAGTGGTAGACATACGTCTTGATGCATGCACCCAAATCCACAGAATGTCCAACACTAAGAGTGAATCCTAATGTAAGCTATGGACTTGGGAAAATAAAGGTGTGTCAATGTAGACTCTTCATCAGTTGTAACAAATGTCCCACTCTGGTGGGGGATGTTGATAATGGCGGAGGCTGTGCATGTGTTGGGGCAGGGAGCCCTTTCTCTCACTTTTGCTGTGAACCTAAAAACAGCTCTAGAAAAAATAAAGTCATTATAATAATAAAATTTATAAAGTCATTATAAAAATTAAAAAATCTTGTGGTAAAAACAAATCCTAAATGGATTATTTTAAATATATATATTTTAAAATAGTTGGAGTTACATACTTGGAACACAAAATTGAGGATGTGCAGGAATTAATCTTCCAGCAGCTGGAAAACATTTTGCCAGGTTTGCCTCAGCCCATC